GAGTAGATAGACTATTGCCCCTCTCCTGGATGCCCCAGAAATTGAACAAACCCACTTCATAAGAGAGTAAAAACACCCAAGCTCCATTTGCTTTGAAACAAGAGTGTTAAAACACACTGAGTGGAGACTGTAAAGCACAAGCTTTTTATATGAATATTATTTGTATTATCAAGTGATAGCCATTTTCTGTATCCATCTGTCCTGCAGGACTCATCATAGACTGCTTTTGTGGAAGTTACAATTACCGAAGTGAATTTAGGTTCCACCTTAAATGGCCTCTGTCGAAGCCCTTTCATCCTTGTTCACTTCCTCTTCCCTTATGCCTAGCCAAAAATAATATTGGAAGTTCTGTTGCTACGTTTAATAAAATTAAAATAAAGTTTAATTTCTACAGCTCCCCTGTGTCCTAACCTTTCCTATCATGTTAACCCTCAAATACGACCCACAAGGTTTCCAATTGAGAAGCCTTGTTCTTTAAAAGTCATGCAATTTGTGCATTCATTCACCAAATACAACATTTAACAGACTTAACATTTAAAAACTAAACAATTATATGGGGCTTCTTTTTTTATATTGGTGTGTTGCGCATGTTTATATTGTTAGTTGTTACATGAACATTAGTATATGTGTGATGATGACAAAGTTAAAAGCGCATCTTTTTCTATGCACTCATACTTTTGCACATCATACACAGTTTTAGACAAGGCCTTAGATTAGCCTACATGCAAATCTATCCAATTCCAGTAAACTTTTACTTAATTTTAATTGCAAAATGTAACTCACAAGATGTCCCGTTTGTGAAAAATGAGTTACAATAAAATCTTACCCATGCATTGCTCTGCTATGAGGCCTTAAATGTAAGGTATCCATCAGTGCAAGTGTGCACGCTTTAAATCCAAACCACAGCAATACCTCTCGACATTGTACTCGGATATGCTCCCGACCAGCTTTTCCGCCAGGGGGGCGCCTTGGACGCCCTTATTCAGCTCGGAACGCCCTGAACTCGAGCCGAGGGCGTCCACAAAAATAAATAATTCGAGAGAAGATCAAGAGTTTTTATCGCTTGAAATGACGAAAAGGACAAGGACATCCCGTTGTTGGAGGGGCAAAGGAGTCTGGTGGGATTATTTTCGCCGCCAGCAAAGAGTGTTCCTGTGACGGAAAGTGTACTGCTGGCGAGCCTTGATGGGGGGTGCAAGTGGAGCACATGCATGAACTGCGAGCGCCGGAGCCTCACAGTGGCGAAACTGAGGCTCCGTGGTAAACTGTGGTAATATGAAGAGCCGTTTAGGAGCCGAAAGAGCCGGCTCTTCTTAGTGAGCCGAGCCAAATGATCCGGCTCACTAAAAAGAGCCGGAATTCCCATCACTAATACATAAAGAGATACTATCTATAAAAGGGACAGCTCAATTCAAAATTCAAGTCACGTGACACAACGTGACGTCACACACACCCCCCCGCTCTCGGGGTGGACGCCCTCTCAGCCCTGGTCTGGCGGAAACACTGCTCCCGACCTATCTGTGATTTAATCCTCATTATACACATCGACATACTTCACAGTACCACCGTCTCTATACAAATCCAATTATAGGCCATTAAAGGTGAACGCTGCCGCACTGTCTGAAGCACATATGTGTCTTAAACGTATTTTGGGTGATCCCCGCTGGTAGGTTCCAATGCAAAGAGGAAAGCTGGTAAAATCACTCAATAAAAAAATGCAAAAGCAATGACATGCAAATGCACATATTGCCTTTTAAATCCAGCAGCAGAGTGGTGATGCCCAAAAGAACAGAAAATGCAGCTGAATGGAAATGTAAGGGAATTAGATGGATATGCTGCGGTATTTTATCTGAGAGTAATACAGCACACACACACAGGCCTGAATATCTATGAGTAATGGTAAATCTGTATAAAAATGTTTCTCAATCCTCAGGTGGCTAGTATGCTAAACTATGCTAAACTGACAGAAGGCCAATTGAAATAAATGACTGTGCCCCAACATTTTTAGCTGTAGCCAGCACCTGTGAGCAAACTCGGTTATGTGTGAGTGTGACAAAGTTGCAAAAAGAATTGGAAATGCATTATAAATGCACACACGGTCCTTTAACAACAATACATTTACTTGTTGAACACACAGCTACTCTTTGACTGGATAAACCACAGTAGTCTTCAGGCTCCCTAAGTGCCCAAAGAGCTCTGATTGATGGACATGTCCGATAGCAGTTAACATTCCAAGATTTTCAAAGGGCCTGATGATGAAGCAATCATCGCTCCATCCAGCACTGAGTTAAATCTAGCAGCTAGCCAGACCCATCACATATACCAGAGTGGATGAATCTTGATTTCAAAGCAAACAGCCACATTTTTTCTACAAAACTCCACACGTCATCAAATGTCTGCCAAATCTTTAACAAGTACACACACGTCCACATGCAATTCTTCCCGACCTCCTTTCAAAAATAATGAGAAAGCAGCGTTGCGTTGGAATTCAGCGTCCCTCCAACATTAGGCCATAAGGCCTCGGCTAATTCAATTATAAAGCCTTCACATATGAATGGGCAGCAGCTCTGTGAAAGTCAGCCTGCACTCTGAGACATCCCCTCCCTGTACATAACAGAAGATGATGTTCCCTGCCCACAGGTTAGGATCCATGAATACTCCCATCCGCTCATACTCACACGCAAACGCATAGCCTACACCTTTAGTCACAAAACAAACAACATTCTTCAATCTGGCACACTAACACTAAGTACCCTATGCGAGCTGAGAGTCAGTGCACAGAGATAGAGCAGCATAACACACATCTGAGTAAGATGACCCGGAGTTCAGAGAAAAAAACAATGAAGCATAGACATAAAATATAACCTTTTAATTCGGCACTGTTGGGCATGTTTTATGTTCAAGATGTTGCTTGTCCAGTCATGACATCACCCATGAGCCACCACAGCTGAGCCATAAGGTTTGAGGCACTGAAATGCTCTCAAAATCCTGCTGTGTTTTTTTTTTTATAAATCCAATACACCTGAGATCTGAAACCATTCTGAGACACTTACATGTTCTGAACAATTATTACAGACCTCCAACACTGTCTTGCAAAAAGGTAGCTAGCTAGCAGTTAGTCACAAGTTAAATCTGCATTATTGTAACTGCAACAATGGTGCAGATATATTTAGTTTCTCTTTCTCTTCAATGGGCTAATTTGTGCTGTAAAAGATACATCAAAATCATTCATCGTGACCACTATATTCTTTAAACTGCCAACTACAAGAAAATTACCAAGAATATTACTTTTCAATTTGTGCCATTCATTTTCTTTGACAAAGTAAAACAATCCTATATCATGCAAAAATAATTGTTTAAGTTTACTCACTGCCACAAAAACCATAGCTCTCCCCTGACCAGACACAAGAAATGTGCTGCCTCCAAAAGTACAGCAGTACAATTGTTTCCTTTCACAGTGAGACATCCAAAATTGTTAACTCATCTTAATTGTTCATCTCAATGCACACACATTTTCCGTGCTTTCCAATAGTTTAAAATAGTTGTATTCCTCTGTTAAATAACCTGTTCAATACAAACATGCCACTTGTAAAAATTAAATAACATTTCTGTGAACTGATATTTGTTTAGTGACCTTATAAGAGGATGTTCCCTGAAAGATTGTAAAAGTGTCAATGAAGATGTAAGACCTTAGTATATTTGTTTCATAATTACATACAGCAGTCAAGGAATGTGTTGTGTGTGTGTGTGTGTGTGTGTGTGTGTGTGTGTGTGTGTGTGTGTGTGTGTGTGTGTGGTGTGTGTGGTGTGTGTGTGTGTGTGTGTGTGTGTGTGTTTGTGTGTGTGTAAGTGTATGTGTGTGTGTGTGTGTGTCTGTACATGTATTGTGTCTCCAAGTGAATATGCGGCCCCCTGGTGGCCCAGTACATAAATTGTGTGGCCCCCACCAACCATTCCAAGTTCCCCATCCCCGCTCGTAAGTGTGGGGAGTTTTTATACGTGGAAATTCTCTTAAGCGTTATAATATCAGCGCGGCCCGCGGTCCGAGATCAAGAATGCCTCCGAAAGCAATTTGAATAGACCTACAGCCAATCAGAAGCAAACGAAACGTTTGGGTCTGCGTCATGCTTAACTGGTTTGGAATTCAATCAGAACCGCCATTCAGTATCCCTTTGGATTCTTTCAAACGTGTGCTATCCAATACGTCACGTTCAAAAGTGGATCCCTTTTTTTATTTACTACAAAACAAATGTTGCCCGTTTTAATTTGCATACAGTTTTCCATTTTGGATTGAGAAAAGGGGAAAATAATCTTAAACCTCAGGCCGTGGCGTTTCCACTGTCAAGGGGGGCGGATAATAGCTTTGTATGGTATTTACATTTGCAATACCTGATTTTGAAGCCCCCAACCAACTGTATGGGTTTAGCCCTACCATAGATTACCCAACAAATACTCTCGCGCCCGCCGCCACTGGGGCATTTGGTAAAATAATGTATTAAATTAAATACAACACATTGGTCAACCTTAAAATAGAAAAAAGTCTCCCTGAGTCCAGCAAGTCTCTTTTAGGCTTAAAAACAAATAATAAAAAAAGNTTCTTTTAAGGTTAGTTTCTTACTTTAACTACCGTAATTTCCGGACTATAAGGCGCACCTGAATAATGTACACATCATTCAATTTAGCTGCTGCGGCTTATATTCAGGTGCGCCTTATAGTCCGGAAATTACGGTAGTTAAAGTAAGAAACTAACCTTAAAAGAAACGTTAAAAAAACTGGCCTTAAAAGCTTGTAGTTCTTACACAAGCTAATAACTCAAATACGGTACTTCAGTCATCATGTTTCACGGGTAGCATTGTTCATTTAGTAGAAGTAGTTGTTGGCCCAAAGGCTCATCAGCAATAATAGTCAAGAGAGAGGGTTTGTTGTTTCTGCCTAACCCAGATTTCCAAATCAAAAGTCAATTTTCAGATCGATTCTGTCCAACATTTAGGCTTTTCCAACTATTTGAATGAGTGTACATACTTGCAGTAGCTGAGCAGGCAGAACGCCAGCAGCTTGGGCTCCTTCCAGTTGGTGGCGGCCATGTTGTCTTTGCGATGTCTTTCCTGGAAGGCCTCGCTGACCCACACTCGTCTCAGCTGGCTGACCAGGGAGTGCTGCCCTGCCAGCCAGCCCTCATCGTTCTTCACTATGATGCTGATGATCTGTGGGGAGGGGACGGAGAATAAAAAAGTGAATTTGATGGATCTACTGAGAGTTATGCAGTGTTCAGAGTAGGACTAAGGGTAACCTTTACAAATATTTACATCTGACCTGACAAGGAATGGGCAATATGTCAATATTATATCAATATGGTGATATGAGAGTAACTATCGTCTGAATATTGGAATACTGCATAGGAGTTTTTTGGTTTGAAAGGCTGCATTAAAGTGAAGTGATGTTATTTTCTATGTTAAGCAGATTAAATATTGAGGTATTTGATCAGAAATAGTCATATGTGATGTTCTCCATATGGCCCAGCCCTTTGTGGCAGTGTATATACAACTGTTTACCTTGATAGCCTGAAACTGCAGGTCCAGTCTGGCTGTGGTGGTGGAGGGCGATCCGGGTCGAACCGTGGCTGCAGTGCCAGCGGGAACCAGCAGGGGGACGAAGCGGTTCGGATTAGAAGCCAGCACGTCTCTCAGAGGCTTGGCATCTTTGTGTTTCAGGAAACTCTGTATATCAAAACAAACACATACTGTAAATATGACACAAAAACAGATGTAGTAATGGGTGGCAGAGAGAACCATCTTTATGGCATTGGGGCAACAGCTGTAAAATCCTGTTTTAAGAAAGATGATACAGAACATTAAGAACTGTTACTATTCGTCTCATTTTGGTGTTAACAGTACAACAGTGCCTCAAAAGGCCAATATATCCCTGATTATAGCCATTACAAAAGCAGCTAAATGCAGTTTCAATGGCAAATGTGACTGAATAAAAGCGTTAAGAGACTGCGAATAAAAGCTGCCGGTGTCTGACCATGATCAGGAAACTCTGTACAAGAATAGATACACATATTGTAAAGATAAAATATACAACATACAGTGTAAATAGTTTACTGCCTTGGATTAATAGTTTTTCAGTAAATGAATCGTCATATTTTGATGTTAACAGCCACTGAGCCTGGAAAACGTGTCAATAAAAGTGTTAAGAGACTGCGAATAAAAGCTGCCGGCGTCTGACCATGAACATGCGGCTCCACTGGGGGTCGTTGAGCGTAGCCTCCATCATGAACAGCTCCACCGTCTGAGATGGGTGACGCGTCAGGAACTTGATCAGAGGCTCCCTGAAAGGACTGCCAGCCTGGAACCAGAGGGAAGAGAAATTAGAAAAAGGAGCAATAGTTCTGATTTAATGAAAGCAAAAAGCACGTTTTTATGAATAACAGAGGTTTAAAGTGCTACAAACAATATAAACTAGATCAATAAGGATTCAAATGTGTATAGCAGGATGTAAAAAATAATATGGTATTCAAGTACCGTAATTTTCGGACTATAAGGCGCACCTGAATATAAGCCGCAGCAGCTAAATTGAATGATGTGTACATATATAAGCCGCACTGGACTATAAGCCGCAGGTGTTTTAATGTTTAATTACCATATGTAAGGGTTCGTGCACAGAGGGGATTGTCGGGAAAGAGATGGCTGTTTGAGGAAGCTCCCANTCCGTCATTGTTGTTTTCCATAGCAACAACAACTCCCCTCCTGTCAACAGCGTAAACTCGCCTTCAAAATAAAAGCCCATTAAATAAAACAGGAAGTTAACCAAATACATAAAGACATACAACTGCCCAACGAAAGCTAACACAAACAATGCTAATATCCCTTTCAGTTCCACAGAACACAAATTGGGTTATTTACATAATATGTTTACATGATTTGGTTTGGAAATAAATGCAATCACGATGTCATCGTACTATAATATGATGGCTATACGACGGCATTGCGAGGGCTTCACATAGTCGTGTTGCTTTCCTCAGACAATCGGGCAGATTCTTGTTTCCTTCGTATTGTCTTCGTGAGGCGAAAAATGCCCGATGGCACCGATGATCACACGAAGTAAAGACGAAGATGACACGATTTTACAAGATGCCCTCACGAGTGTCTTATGAAGGGCAAAATAGACACACAAATTCAACACTAAAAATGAACCTTCGCAAGGTCCTTCGGCAATTTGTTGACATGCCACAGATTTTGCCACCGCTCACGAAGTTGCTGCCGGAGCCTGAGAAACTCCACCGGCGGTCATACGATGACTTAACCCTAACCCTAGCCCTCACGAAGGGCCCGATGTTGTTACGATCAGAGCCGAATTTGAACATTTCCTTTATCGTGTGTCCATCTGGTGTCAATTTCGGGACAGTGTGACAGGGGCTTTAAGGAATTCAGCATATCTCTTAGCTCAACTTCCTTGCAGTTTTCTATTAATTCCTCGTGATATTAGTGTTGCGCTAGAATTACTGAAGTCTTTTACAAGGATGGAAAAGTGAGTTACAAAATAGCTGATATCACCACATCTGCTTAATGCTTGACACCAAGATTGAATATGAGTGGCAGTTCAATTTTAATCAGCAGTGATCATCTTGGTAAACAGTGCACAGGGATGGGATAATTAATCATCGGTCCCTTGTCCTCAATTAGACAACTATTCGAGAGGCGGATGGGAACATTCCAATTGCCGAGTTGTTATTAAGGCAGCATGTTGATGACACGTCAGAGTTAAAGACTTCCACCATCCCAAGATCTAATAGGCATCATCTTGTTAGCAGTCCCTCATTGGATAGCTAAGATGGGGAAAAGTAGCTGAAATGCAAGCTTCTTCTACATACAGTATGTGAGTGGTTGTACATTCAAGTTGCTTACATTCAATGCTTTCCATTAGTGGCAAAAAAGAATAAATCAATATTACATGCCATGAGGTAGTGAATGCGCTGCATCAGCATTTTCAGATTGAAAACAGTGGCACCACTTCCTTAAATCAATCAGTCAATGAGTTGATCAATGAGTGGTGGTACACTCAAACCATTTAGCTTAGGTAACCTTTCAATCAGTTTAATGAGCTGTGTTTGTCGCTGCCGTGATTGACATAATGCAAGGCTACTCAGAATGCTTGGTGATGTCATACAATTTGGCCTACTAAGACCATTCTGAGTAATCTAATCGTTAATTATCTTGCTCCAGCATGATTGCCATGGACCATACACTCTAATTCACAGAGGCAGTTGAGCTCTACAGATGTTAGTCGAAACGCTTTCAGGCTTGTTTTTCCCTGTATACTTGTTTCTTTCAGGAAACAAAGACTAAAACCTCACCCAGCCAGGCATACATTATTGATAATTGTATTTATGTTGACCTCTAGTCAACTGGCATTAAAGGTGTCCTATCATGCAAAATGCACTTGTTGATGTCTTTTATACATAGATATGAGTCCCCGGTGTGTCAGGGAACTCAAAATGTGTCCGAAAATAAAACCCTCTCTCTGTACACACATCTCTGAAAACGGGGGTACAACGGACCTGATCCAGATTTGCGGGATGTCTAAATGCATGATCTGTTTAGTATTTTGAGCAAAACACATCATAGATATGCTTTTTATATATTTGTATATATCTGATACCCATAATATATGCCTTAACATAGCATGATGTGAGATCGTTAACCCTTGAGTTCATTTGGTTTTCCAAAAGCCACAGATGGTGGAAGAAACAACATTGATCCTATGTCAGGCAGGGAGGAGATATTTTGTGAGAAGGGAAAGGAAAGAAAGCAGTAACAGAGGGAAAACTGGAATGCTGTAAAAAATGTAAATGTGAATTTAAAGAGGAAGAGAGAGCATTAAAAGTAATAGGCGTTCCCAGGCAGGCTGGCATACAGCAGCTGTCAGATTAGTGCAGGGGGAGCGATGGTAAACTGAGATGAGATTGCTGAACTTCTTTCTGCCAATCCCCTAGCTCCCTTCAATGGCTGCGTGCACGGTCACTTTTTCAAAAGGCATTAGCTGTCACTCTGAGTGAACTTTGTCATCTCCACTTTCCCACTGTCTTTTCTCAGTGCCAGTCCCCTGTGATGCTGGCTAACAGTTATTTGGCAGGACAAAAACAAAGGATGACGACAGGGGAGGGCTGTGCGATTATGGCAAAAATCATAATCACGATTATTTGGGTCAATAATTTATGTCACGATTATTTTGACGATTATTCATTGACCATTTATTGAACTTTAAAACAAATAATATTTTACCAATAAACAAGATCAACAAATATGTTGGAGCGCACTTCCAAAACCATACTAAACATATATTAATATGATAAATAAAAATAAATTAGACCAAAATAAATTAAATCAAAGATGTTGCAGTGCAATGTCACAACATAGTGAAAACTCCTTAACATAGCCAACATTTTGCTTCAACATATTCAACATATTCCACTCAGTTAAACGTTGAAGGCTGGCCAACCGTCACGGTGCAGAAGTAACAGGAAATAAATGTTGAACTACAATTTAAGACCAAATAAAAATGTTTTGGCCACCATGGCAAATGCTGGTAGGGCTGCTCATGTCATCTCTTAAAGATTTTTTGCAAGAAACACCAGCCTGTTTACATGGTCTGGTTTCAGAGATGAGCGCAGGCAGGTGACAATATTGCCACCTGTACTGAAGACCCTCTCTGAAGAGGAACTTGTGGCAGTGCTGCCACATATGACACAGGGAAAAAAATAAAAGACTCTGAACCCTTTCTTTGCCATTATATAAAAAAGTGTTGGCTCAAAATAGTAAAATTAGGCTTCTAAATAACACAACTCAAGATCCTGAAGCTACACGGATCTGCTGGCAACAGGACACAATTAATAGATATCAAACCCCTTTATTTTTTGTTGCATTTTATTAGAGTATAAAAAGGTAAAATGCCTTTAATAGGATGCAAGCAACACTAGTTTCTTAAACTGAATTGATAATAAGACTATAATTTCATTTAACAGAACAGATCTTTATGTTTGCATTCTTTATACCATTTTGTACAATCTAAAATTATAATGATAAGTTCAAACAAACAAAAATTATAGCTGGATTAAATAACGGGTATCTAACTTGAAGTCTTATCATTATATCAAAAAACCTGTTGAAAATTGCTACTGTTATTTTTTTACTGTCCCCAATAAAGCGCGTCGGCAGCCTCCATTGAATGCTTCATTTCACAACTTCGCTGTCTTGAAAGACTTCAGTGTTTCGCAAGAACATGACTGGACACGATAAGATGCTTATTGGTACTGTAGCAGGCCTTGCTTCTAGTTGTTGGGCCGGGTGGAATGGAGTTAGTTTCTGTTGCATTAGCTGTCGTTTTCAGGTTCCCGCACCTTTTGGGAGCGTCGGGCAGAACTTAGGGGGAGGAATTTCCGTCTCGTAGCGTTTGTGCACTGTTTTGAAAATTGGCCGCTCCTAAATTAAGCCACACTCGCATTGCCGGGATGAGGAACAGGGAGGACTTTGAATTGGGATAGATACAAAAATATCATCCTCCCACTCCTGGAGTGAAAATATTATTATTTTTGGGCTTTATTTGCTTCTGCCATATTGCGTCTTGTGTGTGTTGCGTACTGTCACTCCTGTTGACACGGGTTTGCATTCC